CTTTATTTAAAGCATTAAAGGTAATGAAAGTGAACAATAATAAGAAAATGGGTGAACATTTACTCGCTCCACGACCACAAACATCTACACCAATTTCAGAAGGTGTACAATTCCAATTTTTTGAAATAGTTGGGACATTAGTTGTTTCACGCCCTTCCAGTAATGGGCAACGATATGTCAACCTTGAATGCTCAGTAACAGGACAATCAGTTTGATCCCAACTATGAATGTTTACTTTACAAAAATAACATCTGGTAATATCTCCTACTCCAGTATAATAAAGTCCTACTGCAGCCATTGTCTTGGGATCTGGATAATTTAAAGGCCAGCGAGCAAAGGTTTTTAAGCGTTCGTCTTCCTTATTAAGAAGAGACATCTTCCTTTCTAAAGCTTCACTAATAAACTGAAATATTTCTCTGCACACATTAAAATGAAAACAGCTTGCAATTTTTAGTTTCAAACAAAATATTTATTTACTTTTCAGTTTATGTTAAATATGGTTGATAAAAATAATCTGGTTGATCCAAATGTTTTAATTCTAGTTTGTAAAGACTCTTTCCGCTTCCATCTTTCAACACAGTTTTCGTCACAGAATAACCCCCACCAGCTATTTCTTTTATGTATTCATCCGCCAGCGAGAGGAATCTTGACGGCAAATAGAGGATAGCATCATTAATTTTCAGCACAATTCTTTCCCCATATTTTGTATTTGTTCTAAAGGCGCCATGGATGTTGTATTCTTTGTTATCCTCCATTTCTTTCAAAGTTATTATTTTTTTATAACTGAAAGAATTGAATAAGTTTATTAAATCTGCGTTCGCCATAATATCACGTTCAATGTTTAATTTTATACTGTGAGCCTTACTTGAAATTGTCTTCTATATATAGGAATATTTAACGCGAATTTCACAATATTACAGAGTTACTAGAGTTTTTAATTTTGAGCATAGTTAAGCATGTTCTCATTCATGCTCCAATCTATCGTTGAAGCAGAATTTGTCATGAAACTCTGCAACAACGCTTCCCCCCAAATTCTCATATCCATTTCACAGAAATCCAATTGTTAGTTAATGTAAACAATGGTGTTTCCTTCTTCAAATCCCTTCAATCTTCAATACCGAATTGATGCAGGGTTTGTCATGAAACTCTTTCAGTTTCAATTCTCTCAAATTGCTACATAATGTAAACAAATTCTTCATCGACAAAACTATCAAAAAGCGATCGATATAATGTATCAAAATGCCTGTCCACACAAGAAGAATTTGCTTTGATTGGCTACAGCAGCATTTTTTTAGTGTGTATATGCTACAACATTAATTGGTGGTTAGATGTCGCCTATATCGTTTCGAGGGAAATGACTGGAGAGCCATCTGGACAAAATAATAGAACACACATCTTCTTGTTGACTATGATACTAACCAAATTTGTCTCTGCTATATTCACTTCTCATATGGTGGATCTCTCTAGCCCCATTCGATATGATCATATTTCAATAGTTTTGGAGTGTGTCTATGCTACAACATAATTTATGGATAGTATGGATGGAACTCACCGTTAGATGTCGCCTATATCGTTTCGATGGGAATAACTGAACATTTTTGAGTCGCTAAAATTATAGACAAATTAAAACAAGTACAACGAAAAGTTAGTTTTGTCTTTTTATCTCATCATGTTTTGCATAGCCAACATGCTGATTTTCGTGTTCAACCCACTCGACTTCGTTATCGTTTTTCTTAAAACCCCTGAAATATCAATAATTGCAGCATATTTGTCAATTGAAACTCTTCTATAATATATCACATTTATTGAAGTCGATTTCTTGAAATATATGTTTTCAAATAAATTAATAAGCACATTTGACTGCAGTAATCAACATGTTGACTATATAAAAGCATTCTGAGAGCCATCTAGATAAAATGATTTTCTTCGATACTTACCTCTTACTTATATTCACTTCTCACATGGTGAATCTCTTTAGTCCCACTCGATATGATCATAATACATTTTTTTTTTTCGGAGGGTGTCTCTGCTAGTGGTGAATATTAAAACTTGAAATTTCACCATCCCATACACAGTTTTGGATTGTGTCTGCGCTAAACTTAGCGCCATCTAGTAGTTCATATTAAAACTAGCAACACCAACGCCAACAGCCCCAATAAAATTTGACGTGGTACAATTCAAAAGACAACATCCCCAATATAATTTGCCGTGGTACAATTCAAACGACAACATCCCCAATATAATTCACCGTGGTACATTTCAAAAGACAACATCCCCAATATATTTCACCGTGGTACATTTCAAAAGACAACATCCCCAATATATTTCACCGTGCTGAATTTCCCCCAATCAACATCCCCAATAGAATTTGCCGTGGTACAATTCCCAAGACAACATCCCCATTAAAATTCACCGTGGTGAATTTACCCAAATCAACATCCCCAATAGAATTTGCCGTGATAAATCGTGGTGAATTCCCAACATCCCCATAAGCACACTACTAACGACCATCAGTTGAAGAAACGTGGATTTTTTAAAGAATATTTTTTCAACGACCATCAGTTGAAGAAACGTGGATTTTTTAAAGAATATTTTTTCAACGACCATCAGTTGAAGAAACGTGGATTTTTTAAAGAATATTTTTTCAACGACCATCAGTTGAAGAAACGTGGATTTTTTAAAGAATATTTTTTCAACGACCATCAGTTGAAGAAACGTGGATTTTTTAAAGAATATTTTTTCAACGACCATCAGTTGAAGAAACGTGGATTTTTTAAAGAATATTTTTTCAACGACCATCAGTTGAAGAAACGTGGATTTTTAAAGAATATTTTTTCAACGACCATCAGTTGAAGAAACGTGGAGTTTTTAAAGAATATTTTTTCAACGACCATCAGTTGAAGAAACGTGGATTTTTTAAAGAATATTTTTTCAACGACCATCAGTTGAAGAAACGTGGATTTTTTAAAGAATATTTTTCAACGACCATCAGTTGAAGAAACGTGGATTTTTTAAAGAATATTTTTTCAACGACCATCAGTTGAAGAAACGTGGATTTTTTAAAGAATATTTTTTCAACGACCATCAGTTGAAGAAACGTGGATTTTTTAAAGAATATTTTTCAACGACCATCAGTTGAAGAAACGTGGATTTTTTAAAGAATATTTTTTCAACGACCATCAGTTGAAGAAACGTGGATTTTTTAAAGAATATTTTTTCAACGACCATCAGTTGAAGAAACGTGGATTTTTTAAAGAATATTTTTTCAACGACCATCAGTTGAAGAAACGTGGATTTTTTAAAGAATATTTTTTCAACGACCATCAGTTGAAGAAACGTGGATTTTTTAAAGAATATTTTTTCAACGACCATCAGTTGAAGAAACGTGGAGTTTTTAAAGAATATTTTTTCAACGACCATCAGTTGAAGAAACGTGGATTTTTTAAAGAATATTTTTTCAACGACCATCAGTTGAAGAAACGTGGATTTTTTAAAGAATATTTTTTCAACGACCATCAGTTGAAGAAACGTGGATTTTTTAAAGAATATTTTTTCAACGACCATCAGTTGAAGAAACGTGGATTTTTTAAAGAATATTTTTTCAACGACCATCAGTTGAAGAAACGTGGATTTTTTAAAGAATATTTTTTCAACGACCATCAGTTGAAGAAACGTGGATTTTTTAAAGAATATTTTTCAACGACCATCAGTTGAAGAAACGTGGATTTTTTAAAGAATATTTTTTCAACGACCATCAGTTGAAGAAACGTGGATTTTTTAAAGAATATTTTTTCAACGACCATCAGTTGAAGAAACGTGGATTTTTTAAAGAATATTTTTTCAACGACCATCAGTTGAAGAAACGTGGATTTTTAAAGAATATTTTTTCAACGACCATCAGTTGAAGAAACGTGGATTTTTTAAAGAATATTTTTTCAACGACCATCAGTTGAAGAAACGTGGATTTTTTAAAGAATATTTTTTCAACGACCATCAGTTGAAGAAACGTGGATTTTTTAAAGAATATTTTTTCAACGACCATCAGTTGAAGAAACGTGGATTTTTTAAAGAATATTTTTTCAACGACCATCAGTTGAAGAAACGTGGATTTTTTAAAGAATATTTTTTCAACGACCATCAGTTGAAGAAACGTGGATTTTTTAAAGAATATTTTTTCAACGACCATCAGTTGAAGAAACGTGGATTTTTTAAAGAATATTTTTTCAACGACCATCAGTTGAAGAAACGTGGAGTTTTTAAAGAATATTTTTTCAACGACCATCAGTTGAAGAAACGTGGATTTTTTAAAGAATATTTTTTCAACGACCATCAGTTGAAGAAACGTGGATTTTTTAAAGAATATTTTTTCAACGACCATCAGTTGAAGAAACGTGGATTTTTTAAAGAATATTTTTTCAACGACCATCAGTTGAAGAAACGTGGATTTTTTAAAGAATATTTTTTCAACGACCATCAGTTGAAGAAACGTGGATTTTTTAAAGAATATTTTTTCAACGACCATCAGTTGAAGAAACGTGGATTTTTTAAAGAATATTTTTTCAACGACCATCAGTTGAAGAAACGTGGATTTTTTAAAGAATATTTTTTCAACGACCATCAGTTGAAGAAACGTGGATTTTTTAAAGAATATTTTTTCAACGACCATCAGTTGAAGAAACGTGGATTTTTTAAAGAATATTTTTCAGGTATCCAAGATACGTAGATTTTTTTAAATATTTCAAGGATCCAAAAAACGTAGATTTTTTTAAATATTTCTAGGATCCAAAAAAACGTAGATTTTTTAAATATTTCAAGAATCCAAATAACGTAGATTTTTTTTAAATATTTCAAGGATTCAAGAAAGGAATGTTGATTTAATTTTTGATTTTGTTTTTTTTTTTTTTTTTTTTGTTCATCGATTTTCTTTGCATTTCCTAAATTGCACTTCCTTTTTTCATTATTTCCTTTATATAAATATTTTTGTCCTCCTCTCTTTGCAGGCAATTCCGGCGATAACAATCAGTCTCCCATGCGTAATCCACCCGATGCTTTTCACAATTCGGCCACCAGCCTGGCCCAGAATAATCCACTCGCCATAATAATTCAAGCGATTAAAATGCAATCATGTGGGATTTACAAGCGTTTAACGAATTTAATTCAAACGCTGAGAGGGGCAACAATGCGGGAAACAAAGGTGGCAACAACAAACCAAATGGAAGGAAAATCCGATAAGGCGGCGACAAAAGGAAGTTCGGCTACAAAATCACTTGGAAAACCCACCATGGTTTCACTTTCCATGGCAATTGAGGTGATGGTGGTGATGTTGCTTGGCATCCTGGCGGTGGGTGTGAGCCTGCTGCTGCTGGAGAGCAAACCTGCCAACACAACAATAAACCACACAGCGGAATACGTGTATGGCAAACAAAAGCATCTCTGGCAGATTGTCAGATTTCTGCGTCTTCAAGTATCAGGAAAATGGTTTTCATTCCGCACGATGACATTTTCATTCAAACCGCGGCCAAAGAATTTTACCCAGCCAATGGAAAATTATGAGCAGCTTGAGTGCCACTATACGCAGCAGCAACAGCAGCCACTGACGCATCCTGGGGAGACGATGCGTGAAAATCTTATTATGGGAAATGAATTCAAAATGTGGCATGACAAGGCGAAGAGGACGACGACGACGAGAGTGTTACAAGTGGCATGTGTCAATGAGGCGCAAACGAAAGGTGATGCTGCCGGGGGCGATAACAATTGTGACAACAACAAAGGCTCTGGTAAAGGTGTTGTCGATGTTGCCGTTGTTGTAAGGTGTGATAAGGATGTCCTCCCCCAAAGTAGTGTTGGTAAATTGACAATCGCCAATGAGCCGATGAATGAAAGAAATCAACAATTTATTGATGAAGTTAATGCCGTTCGGAGTCAAGTGAAGAACAATGGCGTAACAGATAAACTACGTTCGAAATCGACAAACGACAACAAAAGCATTTATAGTTACTTACTTTATCATCGATCGGAATTTCCCAAGAAAATGACAAGTATCCCCCTTGTGTCCTCTTCCAAGGAAACGAATATGCAAATATCACAAAACTGCTTTTATTACACGAATAACCAAAATAATTGCCCACAAAATATTGACTCAAACTCAATAAAAGTAACCGTAATTTCAAGGATATTGGAGGCTTTATTTTTCACCAAACTCTCCAAAATCGTTGCTTCACATCACAAAATATTCTTGAATTTAAGATGAAATGTTTTCGCTTAGACCATTAATACCTGCCCTCATGTATACCACACACACAAAAAAAAAGAACTTAAATCCAAATTTTGAAAAAAAAAATCGAATCTCAAACAAATGCTGATACACGCTCACATAGCCATATACTAGAGATTTATATATATCAAAAATTAGAATTGTAAGTGGAAAATTTGGAAAAAAAAATACTTATTTTAAGAAAATGTTGTTCTCCATAAAATGCATTTGTAAATATAGAACCTATCCATTTCCAAGTCAAGCCGTAAAGATTTTCAAATTTTGAGTTTAAATTTATATAAATTTTGCAGTTATCACAAATACCTTAAATTTTATTGACATCAAACTAGAGATCTCAATTTTATAACCTTTGGTAAGGTGCTTAATTGCCCTATACATTGCAGTTCAATTCCGTAATGTCCGTTAGAGTTGTGTGAATCTAGTCCAAAGTGCAGTACACCAGTTCCGAAAAGTATGAGTGATTTCATATCGCTCATACGCAGAATTTTCATACAAGCGGCGAAGTCCACGGAACTACAAATTTTTATACTACAACAAAGTCAAACGCCATAATTTTTACATTTTTATACCCTACACGACATAGTGGTAAGGGTATAATGTCTTTCTGCATTTATTTGTAACATGGAGAAGAAAACGAGGTAGAGATATTTTGATATAGCTCCCATATATATCTTCATCCGATTTTAGGTTTTTTGTGCACCAGATAGCTAATATCAGTCAAAATGGTGTGGAATTTGCTACATCCGACCGAATTTAGCCTACAAGCATGCACTTCAAATTTGGTGAAAATCGGTTGAGATATAGCTATAGCTCCCACATATATCTTCATCCGATTTTAAGTTTCTTCTGCAACAAATGGCTAATATAAGTTCAAATGGTGTGAATTTTGCTACACCTGACCAATTCAGCATGTGCTTCAAATTTGGTGAAAATCGGTTCAGATATCACTATAGCTCCCATTGGTGTTGTAAGTCCCTCACATTCGTAATATGCACTCCATGAGACCGATATTTTGCACCAGATATCAGATACAGCCTAGCAATTCATGATTCAAATTTTATCAAGATCGGTTCCGACTTGGATGTAGCTCCCATATATATCTTCATCCAATTGTAGGTTTCTTGCGCACCAAATGGCTAATATCAGTCCAAATGGTGTGAATTTTGACACTTCAGACCGAATCAGATGGAGCCACGAAATAGCTGTTTTCAATTTTATAAAGATCGGCTCAGATTTGTATATAGCCTCCATATATATCATTATTCGATTTCAGGTGTATTGTGCACCAAATAGCTAATATTAGCCCAAACGGAGTGAATTTTCGAAATTCAACCGAGTTTAGGATATAAGGAAGAATTTCAAATTTGCTCCCATATATATGTTTCATCCGATTTGGTTTTAAATCTCCAACTTTCGGGATATGCATTCTGTCATAAGGATATTTTGTATCAGATATGTCATAGAGCTCAGAAATTGCAATATAAACCTTTCATTTACGAGAGTTCTACTAAATATGCATAGTGGTGTAGGGTATCATATAGTCGGGCCCATTCGACTTTTAAGCTTTCCTTACTGGTTTTTAGATTTATTGAATAAAAACCAAAAATGTCGGAAATAGCATCAAATTTTAAAATAAGTTTAAATTTTTTCTAATTGGTTGCCTTTGGCATGAACTATGGCCTTCAAACGGCCAATGAAACCATCACACCTTGCCCGAATGTTGCTCTGCTGTATTTTGGTCCATTCCCGGCGAAGCGCTTGCTTGAGGTGATCGACACTTTCGCATTTTTTAGTGCCAACCTTGCATTGGCCATTGTGCGCTGGTAATGAAGCGAGAAACCTCATTCTGTAACCATTACTGGGTGGCGCGCGCGCTATGTACGATGGTGTTGAGTCCTGTTGGAATGTCCAAGGTCTGCGGCCAAAATGTTTGCGTGCCCAAGGCTTTAATACACCCTCCAGAACATTTTCGCCATAATATTCGGCATTTATTCTGATGCCACAGTCGATTAATACGAGCGGGGAGGAGCTGTCGGCTGTTATGGCGGCCCACACCATCACCATGGCCGGCGCTTGAGTTCTGGTGGTCAACCGATGGTGCACATTTTTATCTGACCTCTTTGGCAAGTAAACACGATCATTTTGTTTGTTTACAAACAGCTGCACAACGAAGGTTTTCTCATGGGAGAAAACCAAATTCGGCAGTTCACCACTTTCGGCCAAGCGAAGCAACTCTAATATAATGAGCTGTCACTGGAATAATTTTAACAGCTGTCGGACGAGTGGCTTAGAAATGTCGGTAGTCTGAAGTTGATTGCAGTTTTTTCATCTCACCCTGTTTATGTTTCATCCGATTTGGGTTTTAAGTCCCTCACGTTCGTAATATGCACTCCACAATAATGATATTTGTCCAAAAATCACTTATGAAACTCGATAATACCTCTGCGAAATTTTATTGAAATCGGTTCAAATTTTTATTTACCTTCGATATACAATTTGATCCGATTTTACGGGTAATGTCCACCACATTGGATAATTTTTTTTATATTCAAGCGAAATATTTAATTTAGTGAAACTCGGTCCGGTAGCAATATATAGCTCCAATGAATATTTTCAATATAATTCTTATCGAAGTCATATCATGCACTATACAGCAATGATGTTTGGTACCAGAGATACAATAGCCTCCATCAAATTTGTTGAAAATTGATTCAGTATTGGGTACAGTTTCCAAATTGTAACTACTCTAAAGCCATGATACGCATTCAAATAAGGTTCATAGTTGGCATGATCTATTTTTTTAAATTGTCTTACCCTCAGTCATGTGGCTACATAGGGTATTTAAAATTTGAAGCTCGTAATAATAACTACAACCTACGCCAGAAAATTGTCTATTGAGGTCTTCGTATCGCCCACATAGTATATCGTTACCTCCCTTCATCCGGTATTTTGATGATACTAGCAACATTATTTGCCGGAATTGCTTAAAATTTGATGATATCTATTTCGTATTTAAAGTTCGAAATCGATACTACAACCAATGACAAAAAATTACCTATGCAGGTCCACGTCTTCGTATATCTTAAATGGGGGACAGTTTCAATTCAAGCGGTATCTATTGACGGATTTTTTTTATACCCTCCACCATACTATGGAGGGTATATTAATTTTGTCATTCCGTTTGTAACTCCTCGAAATATTCATGTCAGACCCAACAAAGTATATATATTCTTGATCAGCGTAAAATTCTAAGACGATTTAGCCATGTCCGACTGTCTGTCTGTGTGTCTGTCTGTCTGTCTGTCCGTCTGTCTGTCTGTTGTAATCACGCTATCTTTCGAACAAATTGAGATAGAAGGCTAAAATTTTGCACACATGTATTTTTTCCCAGTAGGCAGGTTAAGTTCGTAAATGGGCAATGTAGGTCCAAGTTATCATATAGCCCCCATATAACGGTACCTCCCGATATTCGGTATTTTGATGATTTTAGCGACATTATTCACCGGAATTATTTCAAATTTGGCATTTGAAGTTTGTAATGGATGCTACAGTCTAAGACAGAAAATTATCTGTGCAGGTCCACGTCTTCCTGTAGGCCCCATATAACGGTACCCCCCGATATTCGGTTTTTTGATGATTTTAGCGACATTGTTTACCGGAATCGTTTCAAATTTGGTATTTGAAGTTCGTAATGGATACTTCATCCAAAGTCAAAGAACGAGCCATGTAGGTCCACGTCTTCATATAGCCCCCATATAACGGTACCCCCCGATATTCGGTATTTTAATGATTTTAGCGACGTTATTTACAGGGATTGTTTCAAATTTCGTATGTGAAGTTCGTAATGGATACTTCAGCCCATGCCAGAAAATTGTCTGTGCAAGTCCACGTCTTCGTATAGCCCCCATATAACGGTATTTTGACGATTTTAGCTACATTATAAACAGATTTTTCTTCAAGTTTCGCATTTAAATATTGTAATAATTTATGACAAAAGTTGCCTATGCAGGCCCACGTCGTCGTATAAGCATTCGGTATTTTTAAGATTTTAACATAATTTTTAACGGGTTTTATTTTTTGGAAATTGCCAAATTTGTACCAAATGGTGGAGGGTATTAAAAGTTCGGCCCGGCCGAACTTACAGCTTTTTTACTTGTTATTATTATTTTTTTGAAAAAAAATGGTGGGGAGAATTAAAAAAATAACTTTGCTGCTTTTTACTTGTTATACCCTCAGCAATATGGCATCATCGAAACAACGATTTTAGTGAAGTCCGTCCATCCGTCTGTCTAGATGGCAGTTTCGCACGATAACTCTCGAAGGGGGTCTATTATCAAACTTAGATCGAGTTCGGAGATGGGCAATATCGGTCAATATCTTCTGGTGCCTCCCCCACAAAGTTTCGAAGGTAAAATTCGGTTGGATATGAACAAATCTGTTCAATTTGGGCTGATATTACACATATGGTGAGCAATAACCCTAAAATCGGATGAAACTGTGCATCGAAGCTATATAATAATCTGAATCGATTTTGATAATATTTGGTGGATGTATTTTCGAGCAGTATCTGATATTCTGCATGTTGACGAGTTGCATATTACGCATGTGAGGGACTTTAACACCGAATCGGATGAAAGATATATATGGACCTCTATACTTATAACTGAACTGATTTTCACCAACTTTGATGTACTTTATTCTAGACTGAATTCGGGCGGATGTGCCACAATTCAGGTCATTTGAACTGATATTGACCATTTTGATGCACAATTAACCCGAAATGGGTTAAAGATTTTATATGGGAGCTATATCCAAATCTGGACCGATCTTGGTAAAATTTTGCAGAGGTATTTTTGGGCTACATCTGATATCTAGTACCAAAGATTATTGTTGTGGACTGCATATAACGAAAGTGAGGGACTGAAATCCACAAATCGGAAGAAATATATACATGGAAGATATAGCTATATTTAAACCGATTTATTTTTCAAAAATTGATGTGCTTGCTTCTAGACTGAATTTGGTCGGATATACCAAAATTCAGGACTTCTGGACTGATATTGGCCATTTGATGCACAATTTACACGAAATCGGTTGAAAATATATATGGGAGCTATATCCAAATCTGAACCGATCTTGATGAAATTTCGCAGAGGTATTTCTGGGCTGTATTTGATATCTGATACAAAAGATTATTGTTGTGGACTGCATATTACGCATGTGAGGGACTTAAACCCCCCAATCGGATGAGACATATATATATATATATATAGCAGAGATAGCTATATCTGAACCGATTTTCACCAAA